TTGAACCAATTTTTCACTCCCACCCATGTTTTAAGAAATGCCTGTTTAACAGAACATTTTTGAATACTAAGAATTATCCCTTAAAATATTTGTCCACTTGCATTTCCCTCCCTCCCACCCTCCCTATCCCACCCCTCTAGGTGGTCACAAAGCACCGAGATGCAAGAGGGAAGAGATATGGGAACATATGTATATGTATAACTGATTCACTTTGTTATAAAGCAGAAACTAACATAGCATTGTAAAGCAATTATACTCCAATAAAGATGTTAAAAAAAATGAGATAACAAGACAAAAAAAATATTTGTCCATTTGGCAAAAAATGATATTTTGCGATTTTTTTTTTTTGTGGTACACGGGCGTCTCATTGTTGTGGCCTCTCACTGTTGTGGTCTCTCCCGTTGCAGAGCACAGGCTCCGGACGCGCAGGCTCAGTGACCATGGCTCACGGGCCCAGCCACTCCGCTCCACATGGGATCTTCCCGGACCGGGGCATGAACCCGTGTCCCCTGCATCGGCAGGCGGACTCTCAACCACTGTGCCACCAGGGAAGCCCAGTATTTTCAATTTTTATTTGCCTTAGTCTGATTAGTAACAAAGTGAAACATCATCATGGAAGGAAAAATAGTGAAAACCTCTTTTCCTCATTTCTTGGGTAAAGTAGGACATATTTTACTGTAGAGGGGACACAGAGCTTCGTTACATGACATACTCCCAACTGGTTTTTTTTTGGCTTAGAACACTTTTCTTCTACATTTTTTTTTGTCAAAAGCATGGTATCTTCACTCCAGCCCTACAACATATTATTTGTTGATTCTTTGGGCTGATTTTAAGACCTGAGTCTGTAGCCCATGGATTTGCTCTGCTTGCTGTAGGGTGGGAACACTGCTACGGCCGCTTTCCTCTGCCAGGATGAGTCCAGAAAGGCAGCTGAGATGTGGACAAGCCATAGGGAAAATGATGGCTCACCTGCATGTGCTCCTCTCTGCAGCTGCCTCGCCCCCTGTGCCCTGAAGTCCTCATCCTCTCACCCACTTGAGGATTGTGACCTGCAATTATCTCCTTGCTTTCTGCATCATTTTCCTCTAGCTATTGCCCAGTTTCTCCTTAATAGCAAAACCTCCTGAAAGAGTTGCTTATATTCAGTCTCCACTTCGTCATTTCCCTTTTATTTTTGGAACCCACTCCAATCAGATTTCTATTGCCCAAGGAAACCTTTCTTAATAAGATGAACAACAATGTCCTCATGGCCAAGCCAAGGGGTCATTCTCAGCCCTTAGCAGTTTGACAAAGGTGAATTCTTTTTCCTTCTTGAACCTCTGTCTTCTCTTGACTTCGAGAATCCCACCCTTTCCTGGTTTCCTTCTAACTCACTGTCTCCTTCTCAGTGTCCTGACTTATGGATAGATCCTGTTCTTTTATCTGGCCTTTATAAGTTGGGCTCAGCCTATCTTTTCTATCTAAACTAAATTCCTTGTCAACTAGCTCATCAACAAGTGCATGTCTCCATTCCCAACCTTGGCCCTGAACTGTGGTCCAGTAATTCCAATGGCCAGTTAACATCTCCACTTGGATGTCAATATGCATCTCAAACTTAACACGTCCAAAACTGGACTCACGGTATCCCTAACTCTGAGCCACCCACTGTTCCCATCTCAGTAAACGACCCCTTCCCCATTCACCTCAGAACTATGGAGTACTCATCTATTCCTTTCTTTCCCACATGTCTGACATCCAACCCACAAGCAAATCTTGCTGCTTCTACTTCTACATTACAAATAGATATAGAATCTGACTGCCCCTCCTTAGGTCCCACCCTAGCCAGAGGGACCATCGCTGCTCACCTGGACAGCCTCCTAACTCACCCTCTGTTCCACCCTCATCCCTTTATAGTCTGTTCTCTATTCAGGGCCCTGGAGATCCTTTTCAAATGTAAATTAATGAGCCACTCCCCAGCTTAAAACCTTTAGATGGTTTCTCATCCCACTTAGAATAACCACAAAGCCCTCCGTATTCCCCCCATGACATGGCCCCATGACCTCTGTGCCCTCATCTTGGGCTCTCCCCTTGCTCACTCAGCTCCAGCCACACTGGCCTCCTCAGTACTTCTTGAACATACCAGGCACACTTCTGCCCCAGGGCCTTTGCACTGACCATTCCCTCTGCCTGGAACATTCTTCTTCCAGAGATCTACCTGGCTAACTCCCTCCCCTCCTTCAAGCTTTTGCTCATCTCACACCTTCTTAATGAAGTCTACCCTGAGCACCCTGTCTTAAAGGTGGTTCTCACCCACCCCAAACTACTGATCCCCATTATCCTGCTCTACTCCCTTCTTTCCACAGCACGTTCCATCTTCTAATGTGCTATATAATGTGCTTCCTTATTGTTTTTTGTCTGCCTCCTCCCCCACTAGAAAGTAAGCTCCATAAGGGCGGGGACTTGAGTCTGTTTTATTCTCAAATGAATCTCAACACTAGAGCAGTGCCTGGATTATAATAGTTACTCAATTGATATTTAGTGAATGACTGTAGTAGACCAGCCACATCAGCATCCCGCAGAGGAATCTCCCCACTCCAGTCAACCGTTCCCGATGCCCAACTCCAGTTCTAAGCAGGGTCAGCAGGAACCGAAACAGCTCCAGGCATTAATCAGGAGAGGGGGCTTCTATGCCCAGGCTAACTCACTGTCTGGCCTGGGAAAGTCACCTCCCCTGTTCAGGATCCAGTCCCTCCTCTGCTCAATGGAGATTTTCTCCTGTTCTCCCTGCCTTGGCACACAGTGTAAGAGCAGACACAGGGGTATACATTTTTAGAACCATCAAAGTTGACCTCACCCACATTATGCACCTTGTGTCTGGGAGAGAGGCTCACAAGAAGCTGTTCCCTGGGGCCAAGAACAGTAAGCAGAGGCTCTATTTTCCTGCTGATGTCACTAGGGTTCATGCTAATGAGATGGAATATGGCCTATCACCCCACCCCAGTCTCACACCTTTGGGGTTGAAATGACCTTCTCATGGAAAACAGGGCAGTTAAGTTGACCTAATATCATTCCAGCAAGTTCTATTATCATTTTCAGCTGATATACAAAATCTCAGGGGATATTAAGTTTTCACCCGCTTTTCTTATCTCCTTTTTAAGCCCTGGATGGCTGGGACCCGTCTTACTCCTCTTGTATCCCCTGTGGGGCTCCACCCACAGTAGCAGCTCCATAAACGGTTACTGATTTGGTCAGTGTTTGTTTCCTGGGCCTTGAGTCGCCATCCCTCAGCTTGAGGAAAACACAGAGAGAACAAACACTGTGCCTGCCTTGAGCAACAGGTTTCATCTTGGGATTACAGTGAATATTTGCAAAACATTTCGCAGACCGCAAAATGCTTGTGCAAACACATCCCAGGAAATCCCAACAAGATCCCAGTGGGGTAGACATTCTGACCTCCATCTGTCAGGCAGACAAACTGAGGGGCAGAGCCTGGGCCAGAACACTCTGAGCCCCGCCAGTCATGTCCAGTCTCCCTTCTCTCCAGAGCAGAGACACATCCTCTGTTGGAGAGCTTGAGCGTGTTTTGCTTGTTTCCAACACGGAAACTTTGCAGGAACTGCCTCTTCAGAGCAAGCATCTGGGGGCTCCACACCCCTCAAACCGGACTCACCCCTCAAGGTCCAGCCCAAAGTCCAACTTCTTCTAGAGGCTCTTCCTGCTCTCCTCAGCCCAGAATTAGTTGCACTGTGTTCCTGCACCACAAATGCTGTCTTGCAACATGTCATACCGTTGCTTTGCACGGTAACTTGGTCCTTGGATCATTATTTAACTTTTTGTGTATATATCTCTTCCCTCCGCAATGAGCCTATCAGCTCTAGGTAGGAATCACCTCTGCTCATTCCCTATTTCATTCAAACATTCCTTCAAGAAATATTCTATGCCATCCAAGAGATAAATAGATGACCAACGGTTCCTGCCCTCACAGAACTTATATGCCTTATTTCTTCCTTATAGCAAGTCCCCACAGGACTTGCTATAATCCACCTGTAACCAGCGGGCAAGAGTTAACAGTGACAGCCTCTGGCCAGCAAGTTCCAGCAGTGTGTCCCTTTGATCTAGTCAAAGCTGAGTGAGGACTATTTTTAAGTAGAAAAGCAGCAAGGACCACAGAGATGGGGTCTCTGTGTGGCTGCCTCTGGATGGCAAACCTAGAAAGGGATTCCTTTTGGGCCCTGCTCCTGGGAGAGATTGGAAGCTCCACCCATAAAGGGTCAGGGGCCATGGGCCCTGACGAGGGCTTAAGGCTCACCAAAGGCACCCTCATGGCATAGATGGGGAAACTGAAGCTTGCAGTGGGCTTGTGCTTGCTCCAGTACTAGACTCCCAGCACAGCGCTCCTTTCCTAGGAGCCCACTGAGGTATAGTTTTCTGCTAAAGGGAAAGACTTGTTTTCCCTTTAGCTGTTGGAAGGCTTTCTGGCACACAGGAGCACACAGGTGGAAAGAGGGGTGGGGGAGAGCAGTTCACAACAGTGGCTTCAAATACTTTAAAATAGGCTGGAAGACACTCATGCTCTGGTTCTGAGCATCTCCTCCGTACCCAGCACTGGGTCAGGGACAGGAGGGAGGGGCTGACTGTACTCATGGAACTCACGTGGGACAATCAGCTGTTTGGCAAGTGTGGCCAGCGGGCCCCCTGATGGGAACAAGACCTGTGAGTGAGAGGGGCTGGCCTTGGCTGGAGCTCTGCCCTCCCTGGCAGCCCCCTCTCCCTCTCTGAGTTCTCTGTGGGGGGTGAGGGGGGTCTTCCCCGAATACCAAAGCACATGGTTGTGAGGATTCAATGAAACACCACAAGGAAGCACCTGACCCAGAAGAGACACTCAGTTCATTTTCACTCATTCAGAAGGCCGTTTTGATTATTCTCAACCACCTGCTTTGTTTCCCAAGTCCCAGAAAAAGAATCCTGACTAGTCTTCTTGAAGCAGAAATAGGTGAGTTCATGTGGCCCCAACTGCCTACCCAGGGGTCATGGTCCCGATACTCCCGCTCACCCCACCGCCCCCAGAATCAGCACTTGGGCTCACCACTTGTTGCCTGAGGCCAGTGTGCTTCCTCTCCCTGTTCCCCACCTTTCTTACCTGTAGAAAGGGACTGCTCCTGAAACAGGGAAGAACAAATCTGACTCCATGTTGGGATGGTGCTTCACTTTAACTTTTGTATTGTATTCCTTCTGCTACAAGTTAATCACTCAAGGGATATTGCCTAGAGCTTAAAGTATACATAATGGCCCATTCTCCAGGAACCCTGCCTCCCATGCCTGACTGTTAAGTTAAAATACCTTTGTTTAGCTCACAGGAACCCCCCAACACACACACACCAGGCCCACCTGTGAATGGCTGCAGGAAGGAAGAAATTATCACATCCCCTCTGGAGTCTGGCCGGAATCAGGAAATATTTCCAACAACCGATCGCCTTCTTTTTACTTTACCTCCTCACCTCCCCCTCTTTGTTCTATAAAAGGAACTAGCGTCCAAACCTGGGCAGATGGTTCTTTGGGACACGAGTCCACCATCTTCTCGTCTGCTGGCTTTCTGAATAAAATCGCTGTTCCTTGCCCCAACACCTCGCCTCTCAATTGACTGGCCTGTCGTGCAGCGAGCAGTATGAGCTCGGACTCAGTAACACTCAGACTTAGCCCCATGAGGCTGTGTGACTCCACTGAGACACCGCAAGTACACACTCCAGTGGGTCGCACTGGATACGTGATCTTGTGCCCCTTGCCTTCTCCTTCCTGGAGTGGTCTGTTCTCCAGAAAGTGTGGGGCAGGGCTTGGAGCCTGGGCAAGAACCTCTCCTCCTCAGCCACCCCACTTCCCTCCCACCCGCTTCTGCATCCTTAGCACAGGAGACCCCCTCACTGCTCCAGCCATCAGAAACATGTGCAGCAAGAGCCAGCTGCCAGTGCCACCACCATTCAGCCCAGGAGACAGGTGACATGTGTGAGACACACTCCTTTATTAAAAGAGGGCAACGGTGGGAGGGTTGCTGCGGGCACCTGGCTGAAGCCAAACCACCTCCCTCCTCCCCACTCTGCCTCCACTTTTGAGCATGGAGAAGTCTAGAGACTTACAGAAATTAGGTCTGGGTACAGCCTTGAAGATGATTTATTCCAGTGGCTTCCAAACACTTTAAATTAATTTTCAGTTATGTGGGTAAAATTTTAACTGACTCCCCTCCCTAAAAAATGGGTATGTTTCTATGAAACATCTAGTGCAACCTTCCTTTCTAGATGGGGAAACTGAGGCCCATGGAGTGGATGTGATCTCCTGGTGGTATCTCAGGAGTTGGTGGTGTTGGGACTAGAGCCCTGGTCCCCTAATGCGGCTCTTTCCACCAGCCTCCATCCTGAGGTGGTGACTGCAAAACCCGAGGCTGGGCTCTGCATCTCAGACGCAAAGAAGAAGGCAGGGTGGAGCACATGTGGCGTAAGTGGAAAAAGAATCCTGGGCCGATCCAGGAACTCTGTAAATTTATGTCCTAATCCAATTTCCTAAGAATTGGTTCTTGGAATAAGGCTAGTAGCTATAACGCAGACTTTCTGTTGGAGAAAATTAAAATATTATTTTTGCCTTTAGCTTTTGAGAAGTGCCAAGAACCATCAGGCTTTGGGAATCCCAGAGGAAGGAAACGTGAGCCTCGAATAATCAGGCCTCGGAAGATGTCTGTGAATCATGTTCCCACTGTGAGTCGTGGCCTGAGACCTTCCCCAAAGCAAACTTGCCTGGCCTTTCCTGCTTTCTCCACCGTGCCTTGCCTTTCTTTTCTCCCCAGTCTTTTAACCCTGTCTAGTTTGCACCCACAGAAATCACAGCATGAATGGTAAGGCCTTACTTTAGGGCAGCAGTCCCGGCCTGTTCCCAGGACACTGGTTCCACAAGAGAAGTGGAGTATCTGGCAATTCGGTCCACATCGGTGTATTACAGGCTCCATCTGGACTGAACATGTCCTGGCCAGCTGACAAGACAGCATCGCCTCTCTCCAGGCTCTAAGTTCACCTGAACATATGCCTTCAGTCCTGGAGACAGAGAGGGGTCGGGGCCATGGCAGCATGTAATAGTTCGGAAAATCTCTGGTCAGAGTCAGGTCCCTGGTTTTAGCACCAAGCATAGGATAGCTCGCCTTCTCATTTCTTCACCTGGTGAACTCCTACCCAACCTTCAAGGACCACCACAAAAATTCCCTTCCCCAGCCCACTCCTCCCCAAGAGAGCTAATTTAGTTCTCTCCTCTAGTTCTCACTGCATTTTACTTTTATTCTATCAACACACACTTGAGTTGAAGCAGAAGAACCTATTGGGAATTTAATGTATCACAATAGTTTATTAAGAAATTAATTTATATCATTTATTGCCCTTGTTGACTCACCAGAAAAGAACAAAAGCTGTCTTGACATGAGCCCCACACACTGGACGGTAGCTCCATTTTCCTCTTGTGGTCAATAAGGGTTCTCCAGCCCCTTAAGAAGCACTAAACAATTCTCCCTGTTTCTGGGTCTGAGAGAGGAAGATGAATGGGCTGGGAGGGGACCCTGGTGTGAGAATGGGCTGCCCCCAAGACAACCGCTAAACCAGACTCTGTGTTTAGAAACCAGTAGAGGCAGTTAAACCAGATTATCCCAGCGGGGAGGAGAATGGGGCTTGGTGCTCCGAGGTAGAGGTTAAGATGTTTTTAGGTAAAGAACATTTGTCTTTAGAAAGCGTACACCATGCAGTGCAGACCACTGAACGCAGTGTCTTCCTGAAATCACACAGCTGACTCATCCCATGCTAGCACTGATAGAGACGTCTTTTTTAACATCTGGTACCCAGGGTGGTGTGCGGGTTCCAAGCCCCCTGCTCACAGGGCTGGGAGGGCCAGGCCTGCATCTTGTGTCACCAGGAGCAACAGCTTCCATGGCAACTAGAGGCTGCACAACCCCCTTTTTAGACTGCTAAGTCCCTAGAGGGCCTTTTGCAAACCCAAGGGAGAGGAGAAAGCAAGGATATGGCGATATGAGGATACAAATATACAGGATACGTTCCTTCTTGCTTAAGGAGCGTCCAAAATGATTCCATTTCCTTTTAATAAAAGCAAGTCACGCACGCAGTGAAAACTGAAATAGCACAAGAGAGTAGACAAGGAGACGAGTATCCCTCCCTCCTCAGCTGCTGGTCTCACTTTCCACAGGTGATACCATTAGTGGTGTTTGTTTGTGTATGTACACATGACATCTGATTACAGAGCTGCCACACACACACACACACACACACACACACATACACACACACAAGCCAGAATGTACCGTTCCGTCCTTTGCCTTCCGTCATCTGCTTTGAAGGTTGTTCTACGTCAGCTACCTCAGTGCGACCTCATTCTTTTTAATGGCTGAAACCACCCCATTTCTGGTCCCCTTTCAATGGATTCAATCTGACTTAGACACCCTCAGGAGTGTGACGTTAACTGCACCCAAATGTCATGGTATTATTTCATTCCTATACTTACATAGGTATTTACTATTCCTCATATTGCCAAGATTTGTATCTGCATCTCTCTCCCTCCGAAGAGGTGAGCCCCCTGAAAGCAAGGTCTGAGATGGAAAGTAGTTTAGCAGTGGCTGAGGAATGGGGGGGTGGGGTGTGGACAACTATGAAGGGGACACAGAGGGAGGTCCTTTGCAGTGACAGAAAAGCTCCATGTCTCGATTGTATGATGGGCACACAAATCTATACTTGTGATAGCAGTACATAGAACTACACACACACACACACACACACACACACACACATATACACATACCCCTGTACACACATTAATTAGTACATGTAAACACTGTGTGCTTGTACCAGTGTCAGTTTCCTGGTTTTACTATTACACTGTAATTTTATTCCAGATGTTGCCACTGGGGAAAACTGTGTGAAGGGCACTTGGGACCTTTCTGTACCATATTTACAACTTCTTGTGAATCTATAATTATTTCAAGGTGAAAAGCTAAGAGGTCGGAGTCTGTGGCATCCTGGTATTCTGTTCCCAGGCTCTGGTGCAAGCCCTGGCACAGAGAGGTGCTGGGTAAATATAAGCTAAAGGAGTGGAGAGTCTCTCCTTTCTGGGCCTCAGTCTCCCCATCTGTACAATGAGGCCTGTGGACTAAACAGTCTTCACATTTCCAGTCCCCACGTTCTGTTCTGTGCAGCGGCATGTGGTCCTGCCTGTGAAACCAGTCAGCTGACTCTCTGAGCACTGACCCCTCACACTCTCCCTGCTCTCCCTCCCAACCCACAGGCCCCATAGGCGGATACCCCACGTCTCCAGCAGAATATAATAGCAGTGTGACAAAATGAGTAGTCAAACTAAAATCGAAGGTGCAGCACTTTTTGAAAACTGATCTTTCTGCATACCTCTGACGTGAGCAGTGGAAGAATGTGTCAGATGTGTGTAACTAAGCCTGGTTTGTCCTACAGGCTGAAAGCACACAGCCAAGTAAAAGAATCATGTGATAATTAAGTCTGGGGTCTCTGGACGCCAAGGCTCACCTTCCTCCAAACAAGGCTGCCTTTCCATTACCTCTGTCGGCCAAGCCCTGGACTTGCTGGGACTTGAAGGAGACACTGGCTTGTCATGGACAGTGTTGGTGCTGCATCCAGAGCACCTTTCATCATTTCTGGGCCCCTGTCCACCTCCCACAGCAGCACTCCCACCTCTTCTGGGGGAGCTGCCCTCGGCTGCTGGAGTGAAGAATGCAGGGCGTGCCTGGAAGTAGGCATCCTTCTCCTCTCCCAGCGGGTGGTGGGCCACAGCATGCAAGCCCAGCTCAGCTTGGGACATCTGAGGTGTTCTTCCCACTCCAGACTTCCCTGCGGGATGGGCAGAAGCTGCCCTCATAGGCCTTTGTCTGAGGGGCCCCAGGCTTTGTCCTGCTTCCCCATCCCCTTACCTATGTCCCCTAAGAGCTTAATAAATGGCTTGCTACAAATTCATGCCTCACTATCTGCTTCA